TGGTTTAACTACCTTGCCTTTACATAAAAAAGTTTGTTCTATTTTAACAATGTTTGTGTCCCATACCAAGAAAGTTGAGTAACAACTCAAAATATTAGCTCTTTAGGATACAAACAAGTTCCTTCTTTCCTCCCTCTCTCTTTCTCTCCACAATTCCACCTAATACTGTGACAAGCTTTCGTCTCAACTACCACAAATTACCGTTAAGTTAGCGCAGCGCTCGCCCTGACCTTCACCATATTCCGTCCTCGCGCACTAGTCTGCGCGTCACGAAATGTTATATTTTAAAGTTACTCGGTTATTCGCCCTGGTAAGGTGATAAGATTTTACCAAATCCACCAAATACCATAGATTAAAAGTATCAAACTACAAAGGTAAAGTTATACACATTAATACATCAAAGAATTAAAAGAACTGAGAAAAGCTGAAACGAAAGAGTTTCATTACCCATGACGTCCATTAACCTATTTATTCTTTCCCTTCATATTATCTTCTTAAAACTGACAGTGCCTACATACCTCTATTCATGAGCTGTATCCAATTTTTATTTTAAACTTGCAGGTATGATCCAATATTATTCTTATACTTGATCACTACCCGACATTGATGGCCTCCTGTAGCCGCCTGCCTCGTTCTCTTCACCTGTCTTGTCTGATCCCCTACCGCGTAGATTTGCACAGACGCTACATTTCAACTCTCTAAGAGTATTTATATAAATCGGGGTTTCCAACCTCTAGGAGTGGGCTCTGCCAGCGCGATTTGAATGTAGTATTAGAGTATCTGTATCAACCTGGATTGGTAAAGGTTACAATATTTTGTTATAATAATGTTACGTTATAAAAAAGTATTTTGGAAGTTAAATGTCTCAAAAATGAGGGAGTTCTGAGTACTGAAAATTATATGAAATTCATTAAAATATTCTTTGTTTTATCCACGAAAATAAATGCTAAGGAACATTTGGAGTTTTTGTGACAGAATATGTTTTTTTTATAAATTGAAATATTTTCAAGCACAATATCCGTAAAAAATGTTAATTGATAAAAAAATTGACAATAACTTTTTTTAAATATCTGAGTTTATAGAACAGATTTTGTTTAAGGCGAATATATATTTGCAGGTTTGAAATATTAAATTTTTGTAATTTTCGAAAATACACAGAGCCCTATAGAAATGAGACTAGCAAAATTTTTACAATATACTGACAGATATGAGAAGAAAATTTATTACGAGGGGAAAATGGAATGAAAAAATCCGAGCTGTTTTTGAAAGAAAAATACATTTAAAAATTGTCTATATTACATGCAAAAATACTGAAAAACTACTCAAAATTGAAATTATTTACAAGAATATATTTCAAGATCTGTCTTTGAAGAACATATTTCATTCAGGAAAAAATCTCCATCTAGCATTCACTTTTAAAACAGTACGTCTAAGCGTATTGGATAGCGTGCAAAAGCAATTTTTAACTTTCACAATCATATCTGATTTTTTTTTCAACCTCGCCCCAATGTTGAAGGATAATTGCATTATTCAGTTTCGTGATCGATGATGAAACACAAGGTACCTACACGGATAGGTATCTCAAGACATTGATTAGGATTTCTCAACTTTACGAGCACAATTATTTCACCCTAGTGTCATGCAAACTTGATGACAGGTTGCGATTTGCAGACAATGAATAAGACGCATGGGTATGAATAAAACGCACGTAGCGTGTGCTTATGGAAATGCAAGGACTGCGTATTTAATTTAATTCCTGTCTACTTTACGGAGAATGCCTGGAGATAGAAAAATACGATTAAGGTGGTAACGGTTTTTCCTCATCAAAAAGACCGTCCGATATGTTTATATCTGACAGTTCCATTTGCATGGCATTAGGGGATACTTATGAATATCAATATTTTTTCAGAAAAAGGTTGCAGTAATTTCTACGTGTAAGGCAAAAGTTTAAATTGATTCCTGTCATTTCTGAATTTACTTCATCTATCCTATGTACATATGTTTCATTTTTGTCAGTATTGGGCATTCAGCAAGAGTTGGTATTTTCCCTGAATTTATGTGTGTGTGTGTGTGTGCGCGCGTTTTATTATTGCACATTTTCAACAACATTTTGGCTTACAAAATATTACCTATGTCGCCCCTTTCGTTCTCAGCTACAGTAAATTATCCTTTACAGAGCGGTGTTTTGCGTAGAATTCTTAGTGTTGACAGACAAGCAGCTTGGTCTGAAATGCATGTGCGATGTGCGACGAACGTATCCACGAGGACAGTGCGGTGAAATTTGGCTTTAATGACCTGTGACAGTAGAATACCGACTCGAGTGCCTTTGCTAACATCACCAATTGCCTGCAGCGCCTCTCCTGGGATCGTGACCATATTGATTGTAACCTAGATGACTGGAAAACCATGGGTTGGTCAGATGAGTCCCAATTACAATTGGTAAGAGGTGATGGTAGAGCACAAGTAAGGCGCAGACTCCACGTGTGTCATATTTTTGCTTATATTATTCACAGAAAAATTAAAAATCTCGGGTATCAAGGTCAAATTTTCCATAAATTCCTTCAAACATACGCCTCTCTGGGGAAATGTAACCTTCAAACCATAGTGGTTACGCTTAGGATTTGCAACCCTATCTTGGAAAAAGAAACAACTGCCAGATGTTTAACAAAATTCTCCAAAAATAATAAAGAAAGTAACAACTTAGTGGAAGCGGAATATATAACAAGATTTGTAAAATATCCCAACATTTTTATGCTGCATTAGGGCAGAGAATGGTAACAAAATGAATGGCGAAAATGTATACCGAATCATCATTTGGGCTGTCCGGGTGAGGCATGAGGTCTTCTTAACCTTACGATGGGCTTCTCATAGCGAATCAGCAGTAGATACTGAGACATTTGAAACAACCACACACGTTGAGAAATACATTAATGCTGCTTAAACTAATGCCCTTTATATTTCGGGATATGTGTGCGACAGGGCGTGGGGCCTGGAGCAGGAGGGCGGCCCCAACGAGCCGCTGGGCGCCGTGAAGAGCGCGGCGTGGGCGCGCCCGCTCGACCTGCCCGTGCCGCTGCCGCCGCCGCCGTCGGCGCTGGTGGGCGCCGAGGGCATGGGCGTGGGCGTGGGCGTGGGCGTGGGGATGGGCGCGAGGGCCCCCGTGCGCCGCCTGCCTCGGTACCGCGCGCGCAAGGGGCCGCCGCTCGACCGCCGGCGCAAGCTCAAGGTGCTGCGCAGGCAAGACTCGATGGCCGCGTCGCGCGCGCTCGCCGACCAGCCAGGTAACCTATTCTTTTCTCTTCTCTTTTGTTTCTCGCTTTCTTTTGTTTTGTTTTTCTTTTCGCTTTTGTTTCCTTTTTTGGTTCTTTATCTCTTTTTTCTGTTTGTTTCTTCCTTTCTTTTCTTTTTCTCTTTCTTTTGTGTTTCTTTTCTTTCTCTTTTTCTGTTTCTTTTCTCTTTATTTTCTTTTCTTTTTCTTATCGTTTTAAATTTCTTTTATTTTTATATATTTCTTTCCTTTTTCTTTTTTTCTTTTTATTTTATCAAGTATGTAGCCTTTTCTCCAATGTCGCAATGAATAGATTTTATACATGTGTAATGTGTAGTAATGTGATTGGAATAAAGGTGAGCAAATGTGAATATAATACATAAAGAGTGAGAAACATCAGATAGTCGTACACAAAACTGTTCAACACATTTTTCTGACCACAAATTCTGCAGCAAGCTAGTGATTAAACGATCGTGGAACGGTCTTACAATTACACCAGAGTTCGCCAAGCCCTATAAATCTATTGTTTTTATTTCGTCTATTACGATCATTTGTCCTTAGGCAATGAGGATATTTGCTGTACAGAAGCATAGATAACAAATGCAGACTTGCAGATAAGTACGTGAACATGATGGAAGAGACTGCGACGGGAATTGCTGCAGAGAGTCGTGAACGTAATGGACGAGACAGTTAAGTGTGTGCTGTAGATGGGCTTTGGCGAGATTGAGCGTTTGCAGTTGGTACTGCGTAGAAGCGTTGACGAGGTTCAGGAGTGAACTTGCAGACGGAATATGCTTTAGAGAAGTATCGACTAGGATTAGTGTTCGCTGACGTGTAATAAGTATAGGCGTTCACAAAGTTGTGTTTGCAGTTGGATTTCTAATGGACGCGACGGTGACGGAGTATTCGGTAGAGAGAGATAAACTTGGTTCACGTGCGTGTCCCTAAATATATACATGGTTGACGAGATTGTGACAGGGGATGCTGTACAGAGAGGTTCATGGGCTCCGTGTCCTTGTAGTCTTCTTTGTGGTGGGCAAGTCGGTGAAAGTATGTGCTGTAAAGGGTGTTATTGACGTGTTGTGCGTGCTTGATCTCGTGAAGAGAGAAGTGAATTGGGTGTATATGCGTGCAGACGTGTACGTGGTGGACGGGAATGTGACGGAGTGTGGTGTAGAGAGAGGTTGTCCGGGTGTGCTGCTGAGAGGGGTTAATTGGGTGCATGTGCTTGCAGACGTGTACGTGGTGGACGAGACGGTGACGGATTGTGCTGTAGAGTGAGGTAGATGGTGTGTGCTGTAGAGAGAGGCTGATGAGCTCTGTATCCTCAGACGTATACATGGTGGACGAAAATGTGACGGAGTGTGCTGTAGAGAGAGGCTGGCGTGTGTTCTGTAGAGTGAGGCTGACGGAGTGTGCTGTAAAGTGAGACTGACGGTGTGTGCTGTAGAGAGAGGTTGTCCGGGTGTGCTGGAGAGTGGGGTGCATTGGGTGCACGTGCTTGCAGACATGTACGTGGTGGTCGTGGCGGTGACGATGTGTGCTGTAGAGAGAGGCTGAAGGTGTGTGCTGTAGAGAGAGGCTGAAGGTGTTTGCTGTAGAGAGAGGCTGATGACCTGCGTGTCCTCAGACGTGTACGTGGACGGAGACGGTGACGGAGTGTGCTGTAGAGAGAGATTGACGGTGTGTGCTGTAGAGAGAGGCTGAAGGTGTGTGCTGTAGAGAGAGGCTGATGAGCTCCGTGTCCTCAGACGTGTACGTGGTGGTCGAGACGGTGACGGGGTACGCGCCGGAGGCGGGCGAGGGCCCGGGGGCGCTGGCGCCGCTGCTGCCGCCGCTGCCGCCGTTGGCGCCGCTTCACGTGGCGCCGGACGCCGCGCTGCTGGCCGGTGCGTGGCTGGACGACGACGACGCGCTGCACGTGCGCCACCGCCTGCAGAAGCTCGACTTCTACTTCCAGCTGCTGCGCATCCTCAGCGAGGACTGCCGCCAGCGCGTGCTGTGCGAGGTGGCGCGCGAGCCCGAGCGCTTCAGCCCGCTCGCCGCCGTCCTCGGGGAGGTCACCAGGTGAGGACGGCTCGCGCACGCCGCTCCCCTGCTCGCTTTAAGTGCTTTATTACTTCTCTGATAGGGAACCGGGTGAGGACGCCTACCGTGAACTTTATGCACTCCGCTCTTATGCTCGTTTTAAATTTCTTATTCGTCCTCTAATAGGAAACCAGGTGAGGACACCTGACGCATGATACTTGCCTGCGTACATTAAGTAATTTATTACTCCTCTGATACGGAACCATGTGAGGACGCCTACCGTGAACTTTATGCACTCCGCTCTTATGCTGGTTTTAAATTTCTTATTCGTCCTCTAGTAGGAAACCAGGTGAGGACACCTGACGCATGCTTCTTCCCTGCGTACATTAACTACTTTATTACTCCTCTGATAGGGAACCACTTGAGGAGGCCTACCGTGAACTTAATTTAAACCACTCTTAAGCTCGTCTTAAATTTCTTATTAGCCCCGTAATAGGGAGCTTAGTGAGGACGCCTACTGTCAACTTAATGCATGCCGCTCATATGCTCCCATTGTATGTATTAGTAGTCCTCTAATAGAGAACCAGGTCAGGACGCCTACCGTGAACTTAGTGCACGCCGCTCTCATTTTCGTTTAAATTTTTTATTAGTTCTCTAAGGAGGAAGCAAGTGAGGATGTCTACCTTGAACTTATCGCAAGCGCTCTATTGCTCACACCAACGTATTCCAGTAGGCCTCTAACATAAGAGGAAACCCGGTCGAGATATGCGGTAGGTTTCATAAGTTTCTGGCCTCACTAATTTCTAATTTTGATAGAAAGAAAAAAATTACGTTACTTTTTAACTTAATCATCTTTTATTCCAACCCACTTTTCAAATCTATATATTAACACTGGTAGGCCTTCCACAAAATTGTCTGAATGTTTATTGGCGAAATCGTCGAACGTGCTTCTTTTACCTCGCACTCGTCTGAAATGTTTCCTCCCCGAAAGTTTTTCTTCAGTTTTGATAAGTGGTACACGTATCTGCGTGCCCAATATGAACTGCAGCATAAATGTTCCACTCATTGAAGCCTTAGTCCTTACAACATACTTTGCAAGGTGTTGTACTAAGCATAGGTGTGTTGTTGTGAAGAAGCAAAACATCCTGAAGATTCATGCACGGCATCCAACCTAAGTACCTCTCCACAAACCTGAGTGAGATGTCGGCTGCACACTTATAGCATTGCAATTAAACATATACTATAAACTTTTCAGAAGTTTTTTACATTGATGAGCGATATCTTGGCCCGAAAATTATGGAACCACCTATATAGCAACTGACGTCCTCCATTCGGCATTTGCTGGAGCGAAAGAGCATATCGCAACGACATGAAACATATCAGAATAAAGAATCAATTGTTTGTTCTGATATGATGTCAATTGTATGGTCATAATTACATCATAAATCACTTTTATTCTCACAATCAGACACTACAAACAAAGCGTTACTGACTCGAATAACGCTCGTGTTAGAAGAATTTCTGAGTTGTGTTCGCGTGGGTTGCAGCTTTTCTGGGAGCTACCAGTACGTGACGTCACACCTCATCAACACGACGGAGGGTGCGCGGCTGCTGTCGTACATGGAGGCGTCCTTCCGCGGCCAGGACAGGTGAGCGACTGCGCGACTGCCCCGCGTCACCAAAGATGGTTATAAGCCTTTATGAAGGTAATGCTTCGGACTTCACGGGAGTCAATGCAGTAATGTCAGTAACTTTTACGAGGGTGAGATGAGGAAGTGGCTTTTGCGAACTGGCAAATTTGTGTTCTTATTTACTTCAGGGCATTACTAATAATGGGAATGTTATTGTGTTGGTAATAGTCGCGTACCTTCCCAAATTTCCCTAAGTGCAATCACTTAATTCTAATTGAAGACATTGTTGATGTTCTTTACAGCCACAGGGATAGTTTCAACAAGATTAGGAGTCGTGACACCCTGAATCATCGTTCTTTAGATCTGATTCTAAACAACACACATGTTGATAGAATGCTGTTTGCGATGAACTAGTTTTTGGCCGAGTAGGATTTCCAGTATTAGACTAAAAATTTTAATAATAAATAATCAGAAAAGTCTTAATTTATTTAAATTGTTTCAAACTTTTTTTTACTCCATAAAAAATGTGTAATATAACTAATACTTTCATTCGACAATTACCATAGTAATAGAATTTCCACTAATTCCATAAAAATATGCAACGAAATAAAACTAGTACTAATGTCTTTAATTACGGGAATGTATAAATAAGAAAAATATAATAATAATAATAATAATAATAATAATAATAATAATAATAATAATAATAATAAATAATATATCTTATTACAACTAAGCATTCGGTGAAAATGTTCCCAAAGCATGACATTGGATTTGACAGTGATTATCTTAATTATGGGGATGTGAAATACTGAAGTAGTATTTTCAGCTGCTTAAATTAATCAGCGTAGTTTTGCTAACATTAACAACAGCAAAAATATTTACTATTTTGGCCTCAGAAGCACAGTCTGTACATCAACACAAAATGACGCAATTTTTTAATTATCGAAGGACTGTTGTAGACTCGGTAAATCATTGGTAACATTTGGCGGTGGTCTGACAGTCTAAATTTCTGACGACCTAAATTCGGGTGCCCTCGTAATACAGCACTAATGTATTTTGCACCCCGATTCTTCAATTCACATATTTTTATTTTCTTTGTGTCCACAAAAGGAGATTTTTTCTTCGGTAATACTCAGAACTTTAACGCACCCTTATCACAAAAGTCGGGACATTACCGGGGAAGAAAAATCGTCAAGGAACTGCTTTGTTGAAACGAAGAGTTTTTCGGAAAAATACTCTAAGAAACATTCTTTCACCAAAACGAATTGACTCATCCTCTATTTATTAAATCTTATAAAACAAAAATTAAGTCCCTTCTTGAAAGGAAAGAGACGACAATGAAGAAACAACGTTTGTAAATGCGGGGAGCTAAAATATGTGTTAAAACCAGCGCTTCCCTTTGAAGCGTAAAGTAACGAAAGCTGGGCCTTGGCGTTCGCGGTTGGCCAGGAGAGCGTCCTTTAGAAGGAATTTACCAGGCGTTAATGAGAAACACGACACGCAAAAAAGAAGATGGAGTGTCGCCAAGCTCGGAACAAAGAGGGCGCTTTCCATTGCTTTTAAGGGCGAAAAAATGCTTTTAAGGGCGTAAATACATCCACTGCTCGCACGTCCTGTCCTTCGGTTTAGGGTGACGAAGTAAAGCCGCTGTGTCCCCATCTTAGAGTAATTTTACTTGCATGTAAAACGATTGCACCCAAGACCCTTAAATGTGGCACACGTCACTTCGGGAGCTAAATTTTCAAGAAGCGGGCTCGTTTCGTCGCCGCAGAATAAAACTCCTTTCCTTCGCTAGTGGGTGAAAGAGCGTAGCGAAATTGCGTGTCAGCCGAAGAGCGGGTATGGCCCGAGTCTCGCCATGTAAAATAAGGCATCAATTCAATTCAATTTTGCAGTAACTTAGCATCACCTCCGTCTGGGATCAGCCTCCACTCCGCAAACGAAATCCCTTCCTTTGTTTTGTTAAAGAACAAAGTAGAGTAGTTCAGTAAAATTTATAGTCACATATTTGGTAAGCGTAAGTTTCATCGATTCGATTACCAAAAAAAATAATATTGTTTTATTTTCCATATGATGTTTGTACTGCCAGCATTTAATGTATTCGAAAATATTGGTATTTTCCATTATATGTCTGGCTGTATGTGGGAGGAATAAAATTATAAAATCTCAAGGTTATGCGTGCAAGTACGGTATAAAAACGTTTCTCTGCTACTACATTCTGGAATGCTGTGTACAGGTATAAAAGCATAGTAATAGGCCATTCAAAGCATAGTAAGAACCACGATATTGGACTTTAATTCTAAATACCAACATGCTAAACAAAATAGGTTCGTAAACGATAGCTTAAAATTCAGGTGACAACCTGTGTTCTTCTTTACACTAGTCAACATCAATAGCAGCTTTTATATATGCCATCCAACGTTATTTTCCTTTATTCTCTTGTTTACAATTTGGAAATAAATAGCACCACAGAGAAAATTGCTATACTTTTTCGTTAGCTAATGATATGCTTGATTTCATGTAGGAGTTATCCCCCAAAAGAGGCAAGATTTAAAAAAATAAGAGGCAAGGTTTTAAATCACGGTTCATGAAGATGATTCACGTGGATAATACATATTTGTGCAATCAAATGTTATTCTGGATGACATTTTACAAACTTGTAAATGATATTTTCTTATTTTTAGTTTATAGTTCTTAACATGGAATTTCAGAATATTTTCTAAAACATATTCCAAACGATTAATGTGAGTGTTTCAGAAATGTATTATAATCACATGAAGTACTCTCAAAATTTTAAATGATATACTCATCGTTAATAGGTGTAAAGTAAGGAATACTATTTTTTCGCAATATTCACCCCATCCTTAAATAGCTGTGAGAACTTATTATGTCAACTTGCAATTGTCATGCACAGATAATTTGAAAAATATATTTTAATGGGATAGTTCTCAGTATAATTTCTGGATAGTTCTCAGTATTGTTGGTCTGGAGCAATTGTACAAGGCATTACCCATTTCAAATTTGAAATGAATCCATATGATACCAATTTTATTTTGTTTTTCTCTTTAAAAAAATTATACTTTTACTTTTCCTACTTAATTTTGGACAACCTTAATTGATATTGTCAATATTCTGTCGGATCACGTAAATTCTCTGCTAATGTGTCAAAATATTATGTCACTTTTTAACTTATTTCCACTGCAGCAATGTCAAATTTCATACGTCAAGAAAAATTACTCCGAAACTTTCGTCTTATTGCTTTTTCAACCACTGTTTTTTTTATTTACACATGAATGTACATTTTACTTCCTTATAAACATTGGTAATCAAGAGCAATTTATGTCAAATTTCGACCTGTGTTATGACAATGACTTTTGTCATTTTTACTTCTAAGCACAAATTTATTCAAATGAAAAAAAATTCAAAAGTCTAAAAGTTTACGTTCATCACAACGTTTCGGAGACAGTTACGTTTATTTACGATGTTATATTTCAAATGTAAAATCTATAACTATGAGGAGAAAAGTCTCTTTGGGAATACAAAAACCCCTAATGCCTGATTTACGCTGATTCACCAGGACTGTACTAAACCATGGAGTTAATTAAACATCAGAAGTCAATTCCATCATTAGAATCACAACCTTAGAGACAGAGGGCACTAGTCGATTTACTTTTTAGAATTTAGAACAACATGTAATTATTCCTTATCAGCATATATATTTATCGTCGTATATGCATCACAGTGTTACTTTGATTAACGACATTGATGTTGTGAAATCCTTCTCTTATTGTTCTTTCGTTGAGAATAGTACATTGTTTCTGTATATTTGAATAATTACTATATTATAATTATATGTGCTTACTTAAATTGCATAGTTTAGTATTTTATGTGCCTATTTTGCATGCGATTTTAGTGCTTTAAAACAGAAAATATTCGCAGTTTACTCATGATAATAAGACTCAACTCCATACTCCTGCTGTGATATGTCATGAAGGATGAGCATTTCAATTTCATATTTCAATTGTCGTTCGTCACCTAATAATGAGAAACATTCCCAAACGATCACAGCAGAATTTCCAATTTAAATGCATTGAGCAAACGTGCCTATTTAGATGCAAAATATGCACCGATTCTGATATCAGATGCACTGGTACTGTTGCAATATTTGTTTACGCGTAAACTGCATCAATACGGAAATCTAATGTTAGAAATATTTAGATCTTTAGTGTTTTATGTTCTTTCACACGCACACACACACATACATACACAGGAAAGGTCAACCCAACAAAACGTGCGCACAATGAAGTACATTTATGTTCAAAAGCAGAACAATGGCGTACCTCTAAATTTGTTCAATGGATCAGGAAAACTGGCAGAAAAAACTCAAGTTTGGTCATTGAACCAGACGCGGATATACATTTATTGTTATTGACCTAGATTAATCTGTTTACATTGATACAGTACAAATGTTACCTAATATGTAATTGCTAAAATAAGTAGTTTTCTTTTTAAATAGTCTCTATATTGAAAGAGTTATGTTTTGTACTAGTTAGGGATCGAAAAATATTTTACCTGGCGGATAAACTTGTGAATCACTTTTAATTGATAAATGACATCTGGAAATAGCTTGTGAAATCAATATGTAGATTTCTTGTAGTGAGACGTTGATACTGACACCGAATATGTTTCCTACGCCGTGTGTTGTAAATATAAATAACTGTTTCGCGTGAAATATATTCCTTCTTTTAAAGAAGTCAGTTTTGACAAAATCTACTATCAGTAAATAAACGGATAAGCCAATTGAAAAAATTTAAGAACTATGACGAGCAGCTTGCAGCAATCACATGAATGAATTTGCTTATTAATAGTGAAATTTTTTCTGCAATGAAAATATGTTAGTATTTTAGGATGTACTTCGCGAGAATATTATAACATATCTTTGGAGGAAAAGAACATTCACCACAACATGCAACGAGCTGCATTAAGATTGACTGAATTTGATAGAATTCTGAATGCGTAACATAGTGAACTTAATCTAGTGTTCAATTCATTGATATGGATAACCCATTGGAGGTTTGAGTGAATTGAGAAACTAAAAAACGTCGTTATCTTAAAATCTGCCAATTGCATATTTTTAATGGCTCATGTGATAACAGAACTAATTAGAAACTACTGAAATATTATCATTTAATGTTTGTTTTCTGGAAAGAACTTTCGTGTCATCAGATATCTTTCCTTCAGTTCCTAATGGATGAATGCATATCTTTCCATAAAATTTGGTAACAGTATTTTCTGTACTTTTATTTTTTCTTCACGTTAAAAGAACAAACTTACTTATAATTAACTATATTTTATTTACATTTTGCAGTAGTAGTTTATATATAACTATATTACTAAAATTTCATAATTTATACGGTTGAAATATTTTACGTATCTAAATTCGTGGGAAATATCATTATAGAAGAAAAATTGTTTATTAGCATATTCAAGATAATTAGTTAAAAACTATTTTGGTATTTTTAATAACGTAGCAGTTCATTCATTCTGCACTGAATGCGCTCGTAGTGTGTACTGCCTCCGGGAGATGTCACTCCTGAGCCTGAGCAGTTTCTGATAGTTGGCGCCCGCACCGCAGGGCGCGCTCGTGTGCCGTGTTCCAGTACCGCTGCCCGTCGCGCACCGAAGACATGATCAACTATGACGCCCTCTGCCTGTGGCGCGAGATGGTGCGCTGGCTCACCATCCACGTGGTGGCTCGCCCGCCATGAGCTGACGTCACCGCGGCGATGCTCGGAGACGCATCGTGCACGCAACTGCAGCGGGACCGGCCTGGATTTTCATCCCAAGATTGTGCACCTGTCTAAGACTCAATTCTTTGCATTTTTTTTGATATATTAGTTGACAATTTCACAGTAATAGAATATTACCAACACCACATACGAAGCTTTTATAAACAGTCTTCTGGTAGTGTTTTTTTTTACATTTTGGTTTAATTTTTAATTCACTGATTTTTAATTTTTCGGTGATTTTTTAGACCAATTTGATTTCAGTTTATTCCTGCACATGTAAAATCTATGTCCACTCTAATTTGTAAAACATATTAAATCTATTTTATTGTATTTTTTTAATATGAGGGGAAAATATAAAATACGTCAACATTTGGGCAAACCTACGTTATCAGTTTGATAACCTTATTTTTGTACGATCAAATGCTAAAACTGTAAATATTCTCTAAAAATAATTGGATTTGTGGAAAAATGATATTGCATTTCTTATAAGTATGTAATATTAAAAACATAATTTTAATAGATTTTTTTTTATTCTGAGTCCCGATGATTCAGTTCAGTAACATATTTTCTGTGTGAGATGACATATGCTTAAATAAATTAAATATGCGTTTCCTTACTTTTCCATAAGTAATTTCGTCCAGACAAAAGGCTGGAAACAATAATTGTTTTGCGAAAATCTTTATTATATAATATCACCTATTCTCTCGTCCTTTCGACAAATAAAACTTGATAACTTGGAAATTATATTAACTTAATGAGATTCGAATTACTCTCTTGCCACTCACACGATTTGTTTGAAAAAAAAGAAAATTAAAATTTAATTTACATATTACAGTTTAAAGATTTTGTTTGGAATGCAAATTATGCTCGTACGAATGGTAGTAAGAATGAAACATGTTTGACTCTGGGTATCAAGGAAAATGAACTTCTACAATTTCCTAATTCTCGCAATGAAATTGAAAGAGACTTCTAAATATCCTGAAAATCAAGTTAAGTTTGCGCCTGGTAAAAATAATAACTGTAGTATTCAAATCTAAAAGTACGTAAATGAATGTTTAATTATTTCCCTCCTCACAACCATGTTACAAGAACTGTATACGTTGTCTGTGCTGTACACAAACTGGTAAGAAATATAAACCTACTACATGTCGAAAGTCCTTCGGAAGTAGAAAATTGCCATCTAAAAGTAGAAGATTTTTACAAGTGTTAAACGCGTTAATTTTTAAAATACTTTTGTCACTTCGTGAAAATTAATTATAGTTTCTATTTTCAAATTTCCTTAAAAATTATTTATATAAGTTCTAGATTACAAGCATACCACGAATTTTCATTACTTTATTGTTAAAAATATGATGACAAGAGTCAATAAGGATGACCAAAGCCACGAGTTGTACCACAACACATGACGTTTATCATATATCTCGCACATACGAACCACTATAAGAGTTAAATTAATTTAAAAGAATATTGGTTTGTACACTTCAATGTAAATTTAATTCGTTGAAAATTGACAGCAATTAATTGAACAAACATCTACTCGTCCAAACTCTCTATTTAGATAATGACTTTTCGATTACCAACATTTCAAGCAATTACTAAGAATAGGAAATACTGTGAAATTGGAAAAATAATACGTGAAAATTTAAGTAATAGAAGGTGAGTAGTGGCAAAATAAATGTGTGACTTCCCACATACCCACAATTGTCACAATAGATGGCTCATAAATGTACATCATGAATATTATGTTTGTTTACAGTTTCTTCAATAAAGGTTTTAATATGACTCAATGTATTATTTGTTCACTATCACAACAAAGGTCATTTCTTGATGTTATCTCTCCTGAATTATCTCCAACGCGTTTGTAAGTAGTTCTACTTTCGATCACATCTATTATTTCTTTGCCTACGGGTAGCTTTTCTTTCCTGTTTCTCACACACGTAATTTTAGAAATATTTATATCAATTGACATTTTATAATCTTATTTATTACTTGAAGATATACAACTCGCATGACAGTCATTTCGAAATTATGTACAATTTTATGTTTATATTTCTTTGAGCTTCGGTTGTTCTGTATTATTTATACTACATATAAAGCACACGGTCATGTTGGTCACTCGTTCTTAATGATTATTCATAGATTCTCCAATAGCTCACTCGAAGCTTTGCCAGTCCATCACGTATCACGGTTGAAAAACAGTAATTAATATAACAATTCATACCTCAAAGAAATGTTGTTCACGTATGGAAGTTTCCAATTTCGTCATTATTACTGTCGAGGCATTTGGGAAAATATTGTTTATGGAACAGTGCGAGAATCAAAAGTAATCAGATTAATAATAATATATTTATTTTATCGAACTTGTGTGTATATCAGACACCGAGGTATTTAATAGAGCTTTGAGAGTTAATGGTTACATGGTCAATGAAAATTAATATACAATCAAAATATAATAAAAATAGCAAAAAGCAACAAAAATGTATATCCTTTATTTATCCCTGCTGCATTACGAATTAACACAAAGAAACTTATCCGAGTATTTCGCGATAATATTGTAGAATCGTGACTTCAGTCTCGTTCATATAAAAACACGTAGCCTGCAGACACCAAGTCCAAATTTAAATAACCTTTGAACAGAGGTTGGAAACAAGAGCACACGGAATTTTAGTTCCGATAGGGAAGCCTGAGCGAAGTCAACCTTTGTAGGAGGCTGCATTAGCTCAACGACGGCGCCGCCTAAACGTTGCAGTTCGCCTGTGGAGAGTCCTCGTTGGCAGAGAGATGTGTATTTTTCTAGGATCGTGTTACCCGCTGTACTACTTTACGATTTTTCTGCTTTCGTTCGACTGCATGCTCCGGTTGCTAGGTCGGCACCACTGGTAAGGGAAGAGCTTAGTTCGCTGCGGCGGCCGACCGAATAGGCTGCCGTGGTGGGTGAGAGTGTGGGAGTGAGAGATCGGGGCAGAAGCTGGAGACCGTTATCAGTCGCGTGCGATTGTGTGCCGATCGGCGATCGCCGAATCTCAAAGGATGTGGTTGCCAATGCCGCGATAAGATACGCTCCGCAAGGTCCCACCTGCCAGTCCGACGACCGGCGCGAACCCGAGACTTTCGTCATGGGCAACCACCGCTCGCTCACTTTTCTGGTCGGGGTCATCTACTCGGTGAGTACAACATACCGCACCTCCAACAGAAAAGTGACACAAGCGCGAAATCGTCATTTTTCACCTAAAAGCTGATAAGAGGTTACCAAGAGGTACTGTTACTATTCTGAAGTTGATTTTGAATTAGTTCAATTACTCTCCGCTAGAAGCTAAATATTTGGTACAATCTATAGCGAGTATTACAGAACTACGAAACTTAAAATTGCAATTTCCGAGAAATCAGAAATTCACACTTGTGTCACTTTCTAATGGAGGTGCGATACATTATTTATGCCAGTCTATATCATCGATGAACAGGTGCTTCAAAAATCATTTCGTTCATTCATTCATTTCGTGTTTATCCCAATCGGCGGAAATGCTTTTCCATGTTTTTTTATCATAACTTCTTAAAAAATAGAAGAAAAATTAGAAAATCCAAATAGAACTTGTCAAGTATTAAAAGCCATTTTTACTTTTCTTGATTTTAATCTGATCTTAGACACCACTGTTTCGTAATTATACATTCCGGAATATACATGATCATAATAATTGTGGAAATTATTTCTAGCAATAGCCCTGATTATTAAAATCATTCAATAGCAGTAAACGTCGAAAGAAATTCATTGTATGACTAATATTTTATAAGAAGTTTTATTTTGGAGTACTACACCATAATCACAAATGGTATCAATCCACCAAGCAAAATATTGTTCATGCATTCCACGGTCAAAATCGTTCCGACACCTTCATTTCATGAAAAATCTCCTCATAACTAACGAGTGTCACGAGCGTTTGTAAACCACGAGAACTTGACAGTATGTAAATAATCAAATAGACCGCGTGTATTAAATTACAAAATAATACCGCAAACCATATAATATCAACACGTTAACAATTTCAACCGTTAGGAACATTGTTATGCTCTAATTCCAGTAATTGAAGAAATGGGCTTAAGTAAGACGGTATTAAGAAAGTATTTATAAAAATATTTCAGAAAATACTTACTTGTTTGTTGATCATTCAATTAATTGTTTCTATTTTTTAAATATTAAGTTTACTTGTCATGCAAAATGTTCTCTAATTTATTACGGAAGATACTGTCAATGGATTGAGAGTAAAAAAAACCGGTTTCTCAGCATAAGCAACAAGCCTGGCAACAAGATATGACCTTCAATTAGTTAGCTGTACTTCTTCACTTTAAACTATACTACAAAATTAAAAAAAGCTTCTCAACCAATTTGTAATAATGTAATAAGAGTGCATTTGTAATGTAATGTTACATTTTTGCACTCGCCTTTCATTTGGAAAACATTAACCTAAGCAACTCATTGTAACTTCAGAAACTAATTACTTTGTTATAATTGTGGAGAAATAAAAATATTTACTGACAAAATATTAAAAAAACATATGAATGGGTGAAAATCAGAACGGTATAAGTGACATTTTATAAATTCTACGAAATCTCGTTATTTAAGTCAATATCAATATAATGGCGTGGTGCTTTGTTCCATCATTTTTAATTAAAACCACGAATATACATTGCTACTGACATATAGCCTAAAAGAAACATATTTTTCTCAAACTTTTTATAATGTCACTTTTACCGTTTTGGTTTTTATCCATTCATTTCTTGCAATTAAATTCGTATGATATGGTGCGAAAAGAATGAATGTAGGTAAGTAAGATAAAACAATTGAAAATGTTGGGTATTAGTCATTGACGTTAACTTTAATTAGTTTTCAAACCTCAATTTTATTTATTCAAAGAATATTATTCTTTACGTTTATCAATGTCCTTCCTTTAATGTAATGTTAATCCTCTTTCATAGTTTCACAAACTTTGAACACTAAGGCAAACGTGGATATTGTTAAATGATAGTTATAAAGGTCGTTTGCCCGAAAATTTAATTGAAGTAAAATTTAAAATGGTTTACCAATATTCGTAATTATTTGCACTTTACTACATCTATTTTTATGATAAAAAAATATTATACATTACATAGGCGGTAAATATACCGAAAACAAATCTTGGTAATACTATTATATTAAGAGGAAAGTAAGTATTCGTAAAGGGAAAAGTTACAAAGTGAAAAGAGGATTAAAATTTAAGGCCACACGTAAAATACAGTAACACTGATACAATGTTGAATTTATGGAATGCAGTAAATATCAAGAAATACAATGTTTGAAATAAATTTTGTTCAAAAACCTGGATGTTATTATGAATTACTGTGTTATTATTTATTTTCAGGTAATTTCATTAGGTGTTGCAGCTGCTACATTAGGTTATAGATTTGATGTCCAAAATGACGGTTACGGTATGTACAGAGAAATACAATATCGCTCCACATGCAATATTAAGTAACATTTTGAAATAATTTAATTCAAAAATGAAATTTTATTCCCAGGTTTTCGATCTTTAATGGAGGGAACAGCTCTTCTAGCAACAGTTACCTTTATTGCCAGCCTGGGTCTCGTTTATGGAGTAATAGAGGTAAGATCCATAGAGAAGAGAAATTGATGTGTACTTTATTCAATTAAGAATATGTCAAAGGAGTGCAACTGAATATTTGACAACATTAATACTCTACATATACACATAATGAGTCGACGTCTCTCATATTTTATCCAAATTAGAATGTTCCTTCTCTTGTTTATCTGAAAGTTATCACATTAAATCCCCATTACTGTCTTGATCAGTCAGATACGAAGAACCTTGACTCTTTAAAAATACGCACAAACTAATCAGTACTGTTAAAACATTGGGATAACTCTCAGCGCACACATATTGTTCCAAATTTACGAATTCAAGCGCTTGTTTTCCTTATTAACTGTATTTCAAGTGACAATTGTACTCTCTGTTGGTGATAAATCGTAATGTCAGACCATTTAGTAAAAGACATTGATTAGACAACAAAGAGGCAATTGGTGTACGCAAATAGCCTTCAGGGCGAGATATTCATTGACGATACCAAAGAATTGGTTTGAATTCATGTACTACTTCTAATAATTTCCACAATCATTATTTTTTTCTGAATGTTATAAATATTCATGCTATGGAGATTGATTGGATATTTTTTTTCATTTGGGAAGTCAGTGAATATTTCGTACTTATATTTATATCATCATGGTACAAGTCTCATTTTCGGTAAAAACTCTGATTTTTCGAAACTTGCAAAAATTCAAAAATATTCCGAAGTCTTCCTGCAACTGCAATTATGAAGATAGATTTTCCGTTATTTTTCTTCTTGAGAAGCTTCAGAGCGTGGCCATGACTCAACGCCATTCAATAGATCCTCGAAGTCTACATCTTGAAAATTTTGGAGAATCTATTTGTCCATAAAATATGTTTGTCAGCGCAGCACTCATTATGGAAAATTTTATAAAATATTCTTATTATTTCAAAACAGTTCATTTTCATCGAAATTTTTACTGACATTTTTGATATAACTAAGTTTTTTGTGGAGAAGAAGACGTAAGATTTTCTCCGAATCCAGCAATAGTTCTGCATATTTTATACGCTGTCGTATGGTCACTCTTTTCGTGAAATAAGTTGCTCTATCCCTGTTGTTCAATTCACGAAGGAAACTGTGTATCCTTGCTAGTGTCCAATCAGTTTGTGAATTTCGTTTAAATTTCCAAATACTTGCCAATCGCATTTTCTACAACTAATAGAAATAAGAAGTAGTTTTAGGTTCGTTTGTGATTCTTTCATGTGTGCGACGTAACTAACAGGAACTCTTCCGGCTTCTGACTGTCATGAAAAAATAACACTTCATCATCTGCGAGAAAATTCCACTCTTCACACCAGAAGCTTACAACTCTGCCAAAACTTTCATGAACTCTGAATCTCTTAATAGATCATTTTATTCATTCTGGATGATCTTGTTCAGATTTAACGTTTGGTGAAAAGTCAGGATCCGTACTTGTCGATGATTGAGGATGACAAACTTCGTCTTCTGATTGTAAAAAATATTAATCAAGACTAGTAGGGATGGGTAAGTGATCAATCCAAGTCCCTTGTCGATATGCTGGTCGTAAGGCAGGATAGAAAATACTCTTCCTCTCCTTGTTTGGCATGCCGTGTATCGGTGGAATTATGCACAAGTAGCAATCATGAGAATGATTCTTTGGCTTGCATCATAACAATTGAATGGCAAATGGGTTTGAAGATCTAGGAAGAAGAATACTGTGATTCAACCAATCAAGAAAGTTACTACAACACGTTTTTTTAGCAGATACATGTCCTTCAATTATTATCTTCATTTCTAACACTGTAATGTATAAATTTTCAAAATAATGTATGAACTGTATTATTATTATTATTATTATTATTATTATTATTAGGATTATATTTCTTTGTTGGCTAGCGAGCGCAACATGACCACAAATATAACAGACTTTTTATGATTGTGGACACTTATGCGGCATGATTAATTACTGACCAAACGTTTCCACTGTCTTTTACACTTCACGAAACAAATTCACAGCGGTTAAACTGCGTAAAAACGCATAGGAACGAACCACACATTCGCCCCAATTCACTCCCGCAGTTCAACTGGATTCTGAACTATAAGGTATTGGTACCACACACTTTGAAGATATTATTCAATATCTGACTTTTGGTGTCTTTGCTCACAAAACTTTGCTGTTGATTCGGAAGAAGCGAGATAAAGTAATGTAAACAAACAGAGATAGTTATATATGTTTAGAGATAGTTATATTATCCGTGCGCAACTAAGTGGTACCCTGCAACGCACCCTCAGAATCAATCAGCAACAAGCTGAAGCGGCAATAGCACTCAAGAAGCCTAAGAACGCCTCAATCAGCCGTTCTTTGCGAATAACCAATAGGCGACTTTAAACATTGCTCTCTGAACCCTTGTGATTTTGTGATTACATCGCATAACAGAAAAACTGTAAAAAGGTAACAACAGTACAGCACCGCTTAACTATACCGAATATGTTATGCAGTAGCTATACCGAATAATTTTTATGCTGTGCAGTTCTTTGTCCTAATGATGGAATGTCCTGATGGAATGTCGGAAGTTCACAAATTATGGAACATACATTAAATTGTTAAACTAAAAAATGGTTCTGGAAATATAATTTAAACGTTTTTTATTTAGGCTAACAAGGTATGTACATTATGTTGTAGAGAACTAGAGCAGGATATCACACTCTCCTACTTATCCTACTTATTTTAAAATCATCACGAATCACATATTATTATTTTCTCAGATTCATGAATTGATGAATGAATCAGTCATGAATGAATGAATCAGTCATTAAGATGCAGACGATCACTACATAATTTTAAACCTCTATTGTTTCTTTCCAATTCGTGCTTACTTATATCTCTTTTCCCTTCGTTTCTCTTCAAACTTTCACTTCATTTAAAATTATTTAAGTATCATTTCACAGCAAGTTAATGACCCTCGAAAATTTGACCTACGGTGTTGCTCCATGATTGCAATAAAGGTAATATGCACAGAGTACGCAATTACAATGCAACAATATTCCCGATATAGACTACGTATTAGTTCCCACTTGCAATATTCTGACTCCGAAACTCACAAAGAGAACATTTTGCTGACTCGGGTTCTATAACTGGGAACAAATAATGACGACCGCATTATAATTTAGTTATAAGTCCTTACGGGTAGGTGAGTGAGCACAGACAAAGACAGTAATAACAATAATTAATAATATTAATAATAATATTCTCCTGAGTACTACACGCAGCGTTAGGAAGTTTCTATTGATATAACTGACCGCCCGAGTTTGCAAGCGAAGCAGGCACCTTGGTTCTACAAAGGTCCCGGTGTCTGCTATGGGCTCCTCGCTAAGCGAGAGACTTGAAGAAATAATAATAATATTAATAATAATAATATCACCAATGGGCAGAGAAAAAAGTATAACTCACAACATTAGCATAGTTATAATAAACGCGTTTATATGATAAATGGAAATATTAGAATGAACTGATTCTCGATTAAGTGAAATGTGTGTGCAGTTAACTAATAAACGCCCACTCTGTTACAGCAAACTGAATAGCTGATTGCTGTCTTTTCATTAACTGGTTGTATATAGGAGTCTTCTGTTTACGAACAAGAAGGTCTTTTTAGGCAGCCAATTGTAAAAAGTTGCTTTTAGACCATGTACAACCTGTTGAAAGTTCATTTTTAGCACTATTGCTAAAAGTGAGACCCGATGCTCAAATGTTGAGATAAAACTTAGAGCAACAAAAAAAACAACAAAATAATTTCATTAGATCAGCTACATCTTATTTTTATGTAAAATGGTATCCTATAAAGTGATTTGTATACTTGAATTAAAATGAAAGGAAAATCAGCAAGGTTGTGCAAAAAATTAAGTATGAAACACGCGGTTAGTGTTTTATTTTGTTCTTATAATGACGCCACTCGGCCTTTCGGCCTTCTGAAGCAACATTTTATGCTCTCAAAATAAAACGTTAGTTTTCTCACCCGTATTATAAGTAAGTGGTAATTATATGATACTGTTCACTATTATACTAATTACTATTTGAGACAGCCACAAGTGAGACAATGATCAGTTATTGAGATAGAACTGTAAATGTAACAAAGAAAACCAAAAAAAAAATGTCTGACCACATCAGCTATTGCTGACTTTCATGTATCATTAAATGATTTATAAACTGAATAAAAATAAAATGAAAGTAAGGCTGTCTAAACTTAGTGTTGATACATGTGGTAAAGTGAGAGCGTAGACTTCCGCGGCCGAAACGTCGGCACCTTCGCCATGGACGGCGTCACCTGGACCGCCTAGTAAATAATGTGGTAATGTGTTTTTATTTTATTTTAGAAATGCGCCACTCGGTTTATAGGCAACCTTCCCTGCTAGCACGACATTGTCAATTTTACCAAATCGTATACTAATAAATAACTATTCTGTGTGGAAATTGGACCGAGCTGTCTGACGGGGATGTGTGACTGGTGCTGTTGGTGCGCAGAGGCGAAGCGGGTTCGTGTCCGCGTGGCTGGTGCTGCAGCTGGTGGTGCCTTTATACACAGCCGCCTTCTACGTCTGGGCCATCTTCGCCAGCGGAGACAAGACAATTTTCGGGCCCGTGCACACAGCAGTTCCCATCTCCGCCATGGTAGCCGCTGTCCACGTTCGTAAGTATTGTTTGCGGCGGCGGCGATGGTGTGACGGTTAGCGTACCCGATTGTTATACCCAAGCTCACGGGTTCAAACCCGTTCGAAGCCGTGGAAGAGGCCACGAACCGCATGCGATCTTTCTTTCTTCATCCTCAACCATTTTCATCCATCAAGTCATCTCCTCTTACACTTACACTTACATGCACTACACCGCAGCATTCATTAACGGGGTAAAACACTACCCTAACGGGACTAAAGTAAGCAATGACGTAAGAGAAAGCATCAATCAATCTTCAGCACGTGAAAGAGAATCTTATGTATCGTTTTGTTATTTACGTCTGTAAACAGGCGC